ATTTCCCTTAGATAACAATGTTATAAATGATAATTTGTTTCTAAAATTAGTCCAGGTTATTGAGAAGAACATTTCTTTTTTTCTTCTAAAATTATCAGGAGGCTGTACTTTGAAAGATGTCAAGCTTGCCCTTGGCCTTTGTATTACCTCCCCTTCTTCTCCCTCCTAGGGCCCACTTGCCTCTTCCAACTTTGATATCTTTTTTTTTAAACTTTGATATCTTTTCCAGATCGACTTTGTTCCTTGAAATGTTCCATGTTGCTAAATTATTTTTTTCCCTTTTCACACTAAACCCGGAAACTCAGACACTTTTCAGTGGAATTTATCTCTGGGATCAGGAGGAAAGCTACTTGACAAGAAATTCACACTAGCCCTGGCCAGTTTGGCTCAGCGGTTGAGTGTCGGCCTGCAGACCACAGAGTCCTGGGTTCGGTTCCCGCTAGGGGCACGTACCACCAAAAAAAAAAAAAATCAATAAAAAATAAATGTCACCTAAAAAAAAAATCACACGAAAGTGGTTCTTTTACTTAAACCTTTCCCCCTTTTAAATTGTGAAATAAGATTCTATATTTCTTAAAAGAAAATGCTAGCTATCTAAAATGAATCTTGGTAGAAGTTTGGCAATGTGACAGTAAAAGAAAAATTTTCTAGTGTTATGAACAATGACTGATAATGTTGGTGGAAATTAAGTTTCTGTTCTTTTTTTTTCATGAGTTTTCTTCTTCCACATTAGCTCCAAAGCAGCACCTTGGGGGTGGTAGATAGGGGAGGACAGAGGCAACAATAGGCCATTTGCAAACTTGATTGCTAATTTTTCATCAGAAAGAAGGGGAACAGATCCCAAGTAAGTGACTGTAGATAAGATGACTGACCTAATATTTTCAAGAGGACTTCTAGGAGCTTAAAAAGTTGTCCATACTTTCATGTGTTTAAATCAGATATGAACACTATTTAATCTCTATAGACCTAGAAAATATTTTCAGTTCAGTAATGAATTTCTAAGTTTGTGATCTAAAGTAAACCATACAGCAGACAAGGTGCTTGTGACCTCATCATATATTCTTATGTACTCTTTATGAGTACATAACTATTAATAGTAAGAGGGTAGTCAAGAGACCAAAATTCTCTGTTGTGCTTCGTCATCATGTCCTATTGCCTTGGTTTACCTGTTTTTAAAACCCTTCCAGAATATCAGATAGTTTCATTTCAGACATGTAGTCAGAATGAAAGATCAGATGTCTAAAGTGCTATGTTGAAAACTCTGTTCTCTTGGTGCCTGGTTAAATAATATGGGGCTAATTTTCTGGCAGAGCAATGTCAAGTCTCTTTTGATATTAGCCAGCGCTGGGTGGAGTTTCTTAAACTCTAGTCAGATTTGCTCAAACAGGGCCCTGTGCACTGATGAGCTTGTTTTCAGTCTCTCCTTTTACTAAAAAGCTTTTAATAAAACCGAACCCAGTTATAATTGAAAGTACTTGGTATATAAAATACTTCACTGATTTAATCATTTGAGTTCATATTCACATTGAGGATCTATATGAAGTTTATTTATTTCTAACTTAAGTGATGAAACTGAATTATAAGTAGTGTATAGGATAATCAAGCTCAGGAATCATGTAACAAACCATTCTCATTTTACAGATTAGGGAACTCAGCCCCGGAAGGTGACTCACTCAAAGCCACATTGAGAATCAGATTAAATTTGTGTTTCGGTGAAGCACAGAAACTTCTGTACCCAGTTTTCTTTTCTTGCCTCTGATGAACAAAGCCATTTTAAGTTAACTTTCTTTATTATCTATATGAATAAAAGACGAATAGTATAAATAGTTTAAAAAGTAGATACTTCTCATTCATAAGGGTTCATTTTTGGATCTTTCTGAATATTCAGATTTGAGACTAACACTGTATCATGCCATATTCCTTTGTCCATAAACTATATAACTAAACATTTAAAGGCGTAAATGAATACTAAGTGATCTTAAATATGTCTGTAAGTGTGGGAAGAAATTTATTCATGAATTTATTAAAATCAATCTGGAACACTTTCATAACCAGTTTAACAAATCTGAGAGCACTTAAGGAACTTACTGTACATGTTTTATTTATTTATTTATTTACTTATTTATTTACTATTTTGGTTAATCTTCACCTGAGGATATTTTCCCATTGATTTTTTGACAGAGTGGAAGGGAGGGAGGCAGGTGGGGGGTGGGGGGAGAGAGAGAGAAAATCCATGTAGGAGAGACACATTGGTTGCCGTCTCCATGGGGCCGGGGATCAAACTTGCAACCCAGGTACATGCCCTTGACCAGAAATTGAACCCAAGATGCTTCAGTCCGTGGGCCGATGCTCTAACCGATGAACCAAACTGGCCAGGGCACTTACTGTACATGTTTTAGAAAGAGTAAGTACATGATTGGGTGATCTCTTTATTTATTTTTCTCTTTTTTTTTTATCCTTACCCGAGGACATTTTTGCATTTATCTTCAGATAGAGCCAGAGGGGGGTTGGGGAGGAGGAGAGAAACACTGATGTTAGAGAGACACATTGACTTGTTACCACCCACACGACCTCAACTGGGGCCAGGGACAAACTGCAACCAAGGTACGTGCCCTTAGTGGGAACCGAACCCCGGACTCTCCGGCCGATGCTCTAAACGCTGAGCCAAACTGGCCAGGGCTGGGTGATCTCTTTAAATGCATTGAAAACTTGGGCCTTCGGACTAAGGGCCAGTACTTTCACTTCCAATACAACACTAGCATTGCTTTTACAGGGTCATTTTCCCTAAGGAGATATTTTGCGTGTAAGTCATAGTTCTATTTATATTTGGTGACAAGAAAAGAATAGCTAAACTGTTGAGTTGTAGATGCTGGCTTGTGGTCTAGATGTACACAGAGCCAAGTGACCTCCCCATTTCCCATCTAAATTTCTATCAGTTTACCTTCTTAGGCTGAATTTAAGCTGCTATTCATATTCCATCAACTGCATGTCAGTTCAGGAAGTGGTTTGGGAGGTGGTGGAGATTGGGGGTGGTGATAGGGAAAGATTACAGTGGATAAAGGTTACCCTTTGAGAATCTGCACTCAGATAAATGAGGTTTAAAAGATATTGCTGGATTTTCTGTATTTTCCCATATCCTAAATTAGGAAAAGTTTGAGTAGATTACATGACATAAGTGCCATAATTATATATTCTCGGCAAAATAAATCTGTTGGGCTCTTATTCTAAGTTAAGAATAGTGAAGATGTCCTTTCAAATCCTCTTTATGATGTCTATAATCTTTTATTGTTTTTAGTTTATAAAAGTTTTCATAGGCTAACTGATAATAATAGCTATCATAGGTAGGAAAGGGAAAAGTAATTACATTTTTTTTTTAAGATATATATTTTTTCCTTTATTGATTTGAGAGAGAGAAGATGGGAGAGGGAGAGAGAGAAAGAAACATTGATGAGAGAGAACATCGATTGGCTGCTTCCTGCATGCCCTCACTGGGGATTTTGTCCACAACCTGGGCATGTGCTCTGACCGGGAATCGAACCGGCAACCTCTTGGTGTGTGGGTCGACACTCAACCACTGAGCCACACTGACTGGGCTAGCTTTCTTTTTCTTTCTGCTTTTGGATTAATTGAATATTTTTTATAATTTTATTTCCAGTGTTAGCTTATTTTTATATCTCTTTTTTAAATGTGTAAGTTTTGTTTTTTTTTATCCTCAGCCAAGGATATTTTTCCATTTTTTTTACAGATAGAGTGGGAGAGAGAGAGAGGAAGGGAGAGAGAGTGAGAAACATCGACGTGAAGGGACACATCGAGTGGCTGCCACCCGCACGACCAACCAGGGCCGGGGACAAACTGCAACCGAAGTACATGCCCTTAGCGGGAACCGAACCCGGGTCTCTCCGGACCGCAGGCTGACACTCTAACCGCTGAGCCAAACTGGCCAGGGCTAAATGTGTAAGTTTTTAATGAGAGAGTATAAAGAGGGTTTTCTCATATGTCTTGATAGTCTTGAATTTTCTTAGCTTAAATGTCTTACTGATGTCACAAAATTTCAAATAAAACAACAGTGACATCCCTGGCGGTTTGGCTCAGAGGTTAGAGGGATAGCCCTGGACTGAAGGGCTTCAGGTTTGATTCCCAGTCAAGGGCACAGATTCGATCCCTGCCCTGGTCAGCGTTGTGAGGGTGGCAACTGATTGATGTGTCTCTTTCACATCGATGTTTCTCTCTCTCTCTCACTCTCGCTCTCCCTCCCTTCCACTCTATCTAAAAATCAATGGAAAAATATCCTTGGGTGGGGATTAACAAAAAATAAAATGAAATCATAATAATAAAAATGGAAATCTAATCTAATCTGACCTCTCTGTTTATTCTTTTAAGAATTATTCTGGGCCCTGGTCTGTTTGGCTCAGTAGTTAGAGCATCGGCCCATGGACCCAGTGAGTCATGGGTTCGATTCTGGTCAAGGGCATGTACCTTGATTGCGGTTCATCCCTGGGCCTGGTTGGGGTCGTGTGGGAGGCATCCAGTCTATGTGTCTCTCTCATGTCGATGTTTCTATCTCCCCCCTCCCATTCTATCTGAACATAAGTAGAAGAATATTCTCAGGTGAGGATTAAAAAAAAAAGATTTATTCTGGGTCATAATTTGGAAATGAAGATAATATGGAATATTTGAAAGGGTTATAAGACTTGAAATCAAAAGACCTGATTTGAATCTTACTGGCTGTAACCTAGGACAAATTGAGTTTTAAAATATGCTTCATGCTTCTTTCTAATGAAAAGGACAGAATGGCACTTGCTCTGTTTACTTCCCAGAGATGTGAGAAGAAAGTGTTTACTTTGGGTAAGACTGTCTATTACTGAGCTTTACGGTTCTAATCTGTGAAATGAAGGGTGTTTCTTCTAGATCTAAATGTTTGGATATTAATTTTTTGTTGTTGTTTAAAAAACTAACAAGAATTTTTAGGAATGTTTTCCCCTTTGCAGTGCTCATCATATGAAACATTTTACCCCCTTAACCAGGCAGTTGCAGTGGTGCAGAATGGCTGACCTCAGTCTTGCAGATGCATTAACAGAACCATCTCCGGAAATTGAGGGAGAGATTAAACGGGACTTTATTGCCACACTGGAGGCAGAGGCCTATGATGATGTTGTGGGAGAAACTGTTGGAAAAACAGACTACATTCCTCTCCTGGATGTTGATGAGAAAACCGGGAATTCGGAGTCAAAGAAGAAGCCATGTGCAGATAGTAGCCAAGTTGAAGGTAAGTAATTAAATCAAACTGGATATAAAGGTGAAGAAAGTAGATTAGGGCTTGGGTCACAATCTTGGAAACCTTGAGGAAACTGAAGTTTCAAAACCTTTCAAAACCTTCAGTTTTGAAGTATAGGCTGGTAACTTTATCTAGATTTCTTTTATTTGAAACCAAGGAGGTAGGTTCATACCATTTAGTTGAGTGTTTATGACTCTGTAGGTTACTTTTAACCCTTAAATTTCTTCTGTAGTATGTCAAGTTCTGTGTAATCTTCCTCTTAATTTCCTAAATTAAACTGCTGTGCATTTTCTTTGAAAGTAGCTTTGAAAAGTTATAGATATAAAATTTTGTGTTTACATCAAGACTTAATTTAGAATGGAATCAGATGCCACTTGACTTTTGGAGTAATCCCAGGTCAGGATTAAAACATGATTAAACTCTTTATTTTTTTTTTTTTTTTTTTTTTTTTTTAATCCTCACCCGAGGACATTTTCCCACTTTTTGCACAGATAGAGTGGGAGGGAGAGAGAGGAAGAGAGAGAGAGAGGGAAACATCGATGTGAAAGGGACACATCGAGTGGCTGCCACCCGCACGACCAACCAGGGCCGGGGACAAACTGCAACCGAGGTACATGCCCTTAGCGGGAACCGAACCCGGGTCTCTCCGGACCGCAGGCGGATGCTCTAACCGCTGAGCCAAACCGGCCAGGGCTGATTAAACTCTTTAAAAGAGATCTGCTGCTTTTATATAGTACTGGATCAGGTTTGCTAATATTTGAGGATTTTTGCATTTTTGTTCATGTAGAATATTGGTCTGTTGTTTTCTTGTGATACTTTTGTCCAGTTTTAGAATTGAGGTGATGCTGGCATCATAAAATGATTTGGAAAATTTTCTGGAATAGTTTTTTAGAATTGATGTTTTTTTTCTTTAATTTTTGATAGACTTCCTCAGTGAAGCCATGTGGGCCTGGAGATTTCTTTGTCAGGTTTTCAACTAGGAATTAAATTTCTTTAAAGTTATAGAACTATTCAGGTTATTCATTAATTCTCAAGTGAGCTTTCGTAGTTTATATCTTTCAAGGAACTGGTCCATTTCCTTTAAATTGTCAAAATAATGGAGATAAAATTATAATTATCTTTTAATGTCTGTAGGATCCGTTGTTAGGTACCCTTTTTTCATTCATTGCATTGGTAATTTGTGTCCTCTTTTTTTTTTGATGAGTCTGGATAGAGTTTATCAATTATTATTATTATTTTTTCTTTATTGATTTTAAAGAGAGAGGAAGGGAGAGGGAGAGAGATAGAAACATCAATAAGCGAAAACATCGATTGGCCGCCTCCTGCACTACCTGCAATGGGGATCGGGCCCACAACCTGGGAATGTGTCCTGACCGGCATTCAAACCGGTGACCTCTTGGTGCATGGGCCAATGCTCAACCACTGAGCCACACTGGCCGGACGGCAGTTGTTTTTAAATTATAGTCCGGGTTTAAGCTCAGTTTTGTGTGCATGCATCTCATGATTTGAATCTTTCTCAGTAATATTATCCCTCTTACAGTGATAGGGTCTTCTAATGATTAGTGTAGAATTCCAGGGTAGGACTTTTTCTTGCTCCTCTCTTAGGGTTAGAAAGTCTTTTCTTTTCTTTTCTTTTTTTTTTTTTTTTTTTATCCTCACCCAAGGACATTTTTCCATTTTTTGTTCAGGTAGAGTAGGAGGGGGAGAGAGGAACAGAGAGAGAGAGAAACATCGACGTGAAGGGACACATCGAGTGGCTGCCACCCGCACGACTGACCAGAGCCGGGGACAAACTGCAACCGAGGTACATGCCCTTAGCGGGAACTGAACCCGGGTCTCTCGGGACCGCAGGCAGACGCTCTAACCGCTGAGCCAAACCGGCCAGGGCAGAAAGTCTTTTCTTAATACTCCTTCCCAGCTGCAATGGATCTTCACCCGGGCTCTGGGGCTGACATGGTTTGAGATTTCTCCCCCAGCAGTTGAAAGCTTTAGTTTTCATAGGAGAGAAGGATCCCAGGGAACAGGGCTTCATGCCTTTCCTTTAGCTACAGCTTTTTCCAGGTCTGCACCACTGAGGGGAACTCTTTCTGGTCTCACACCCTGCCTCCAGTCTTTCTTGAGAGTATCTATTTGGTAGACAGAGGGGTGTGAACTCCCTTTGTGGATCTGGGGCCCTGTTCTCTCATGTTAACCTTCACTTAGCCTTTAGCTTCAATTTTTTTTAACCTGCTTCTGTGGCACTAGGCATCTCTTTCTTACATGCTCAGACACAGGGCTTACCTACTGTACCTCCTTGAGGGGACTATCTTTCTTTGAATTTCATACTACTTGGTGGCCCTAAAACCTCAGCTCTTTGGTGAGTTCACATTATGAATTTGTAGTTGATCTGGCTGTTTTTTTTGTTGTTGAGAGGGTGGGAGTGACATTTCTTCTGGCTTTCTAGAGCGTAAGTGGAAGAACTCCTGCTGCCTTTATATATGCTTTATTTGGGGGGTGGGAGGGTAACACAATTTATCAGAAAAATTATTGAGAGTTTAAAGTCAAAGTATAGCCCGGCTAGTGTGGCTCACTGGTTGAGCCCTGACCTATGCACCAAGAAGTCGCCGGTTCAGTTCCCCATCAGGGCACATGTCCAGGTTGTGGGCCAAATCCCCATGGGGGTGGGGCATGCAGGAGGCAGCCTATCAATGTTCTCTCTAATGGATGTTTCTCTCTCTCTCTCCCTCTCCCTTCCTCTTTCTTCTTCTCTCTCTCAAATATCAATAAAGAAAAAAATTTAAAAATTAAAGAACTTAAAAAAAAAAAGTCAAAGTATATCCATGTAAATATTGCTCCAAGAAAAAAAAAATTGGATTTTTTAATGGAAAATGAGAATGTCTGTTCTCCTTTAATCCATAATGGTCCTTTGACTAACATAAAAATAGGAAAACTTAGTGGGAAGAAAGGAAATGGTAAGGGGTGAACATTTTAATAACTTTAGTCATTACTAAGCTTGCTGCCTTTCATTTTCTAGTTTCTGTTAGCTGTGTGTTGCTTCTACCACCTGGGACTACACTTAGTTGGGTGAGGATAAGATGGTAGTAGCGCCCTGGCCGGTTTGGCTCAGCGGTTAGAGTGTCGGCCTGCGGTCCAGAGAGACCCAGGTTCGGATCCCGCTAAGGGCGCGTACTTCGGTTGCAGTTTGTCCCCAGCCCTGGTCGGTTGTGCAGGTGGCAGCCACTTGATGTGTTCCTTTCACATCGATGTTTCTCTCTCTCTCTCTCTGTTCCTTTCTTTCCCTCCCACTCTACCTGAACAAAAAATGGAAAAATATCCTCGGGTGAGGATTAAAAAAAAAAAAAAAAGATGGTAGTAGCAATGGATTTTCTTGTGCTTCATCTTGGGTGACTTGATCTATGTACCACTAACTTGACCCAAGAAGAGGAGAGTTTTTTAGAAGCTATTTTGCTTGTAAAAATTATTAAAATCTTCCTTTTACATTTTTAAATATGCAAGTAACCTATAAATAAGAATTTATTAACTCAGAAAGGCTTCTCTAGAAATAAACAGTGGTTACTCCAAGAAGCACTGACTAGCTGTAGTACAAGGGTGGGAGGAAGACTTATTTTTACTGTATATCTCTTTGGACCAATGGATTTTGTACACATACATTTATTAACCTGTTCAAAAAGAATAATATAAAATTTATCATTACAATATAGCTAAATTACAAGTTGCTACATATATATATTTTCCTACCACTTTGTTTATAGAATGCTTGGTTAAGGATAAATGGGATAAAGAAGTGGCTGTTTGGAGACTTTGAAGATGACAGGAAGATAGCTTCCTTATTTGGTCTTGTAGGAATTGGTGCAGTGAGTGATTTCTCTATAAATGGGAACTTCTCTGTTATGAGTCTGATTTTAATAGATTTTTGCCAAAACAATAGATTTTGTGTTTGTGTATTTCCTGGAGAACTTTATTATTATTATTTCTTAATCCTCACCCAAGGATTTCTTCTACTTATCTTCAGATAGAGTGGGAGGGAGGGAGAGAAAGGGGGAAAGAGAAACATCTACGTGAGAAGGACACGTTGATTGGTTGCCTCCCGCACGACCCTGACCAGGGCCGGGGACAAACCACAACTGAGCTACGTGCCCTTGACCAGAATCAAACCCAAGATTCATTGGTCCTCGGGCCAGAGCTGGAGAACATTATTTTTATGTTTTATTATACAAAGTTTAATTTTGATTTTGTTCTTGGACGAGATTTAGTAACTTATCACTGGTTCTCTTTGATATGACTTTATTGCAAGCTCACTTAGGCCAAGCAGTGGAAGTTTATCAACCAGTTTCCTGCATCTAGATATGGAAAGGGCAGTTAAAGGGGTTACACATAACAGAACTCACTGGAAAATGAATTTTTATTTTTCATTTTCATATGCCCACCCTAATTGCCCCCAAATTTAAAATGAGAGGTAAGAAAAGTAGGGCTGCCTTTATGACACCACACAAAGTAGAAAAAGTTACCTTTTTTTTTTTTTACCCCAAGTACAATTTCTATCCCAAACACAGAAACATTGATTTTTTTCCAGGAAGCCCTATATATATATTTAGTGGGCAGTATTTACATTTCACAGTTTATAGTGCAGGTCCTAGGGATGCTTGTTACTTCCTATTGGAGTTGCCATTGTTTTTAGACCTTTTCTGAGGATATACTATACACTTTCCCATTTTAGCCCCCATTTAGTTTTGCTTCTACAAGTATGTTATCTTAGCATTGCCTCCATAAAACATCTAAATAGCCAAATACATGGAAATAAAACTGGTATCAAACTACTTCTAAAACAGTGGTTCTCAACCTTCCTAATGCCGTGACCCTTTAATACAATTCCTCATGTTGTGGTGACCCCCAACCATAAAATTATCTTCATTGCTACTTCATAACTAATTTTGCTACTGTTATGAATTGCCATTGGAAATATGTGTTTTCTGATGGTCTTAGGCAACCCC